TTTCCTGCAGTAGAGCGTGATTGACTCCCGGCCCATTAGCTTAAAAAAAAAAAGAAACAAAGAAACAAAGCTTTAATGGTGATTATGCAGGTTACAATCTGCTTAAAAAAAAGAAAAAGAAAGAAAGAAAGCTTTAATGGTGGTTATCCAGGTTACAATCTGCTTTAAAAAAAAACGCTTTAAGAGCTGCGAGCTTCTGGGGTTTTTTTCCTTTCATTTTCGGGCAGTTTGGAACTTGTTCCTCCTGAGTGTCGGATTGCTGCATGTGCTTGCTTCTTGCATACCCTGCAGTGCCTACTCTCTCTCCACTGACCTCCTGCCTCGACTACTATGTAAAGGGGGGTTGGCTGGTTTGGTACAGGGGGGTTTGTGATCAGGGCCGGCTCCAGGCACCAGCTGAGCAAGCTGGTGCTTGGGGCGGCAGATTGTTGGAGTCGGCATTCCACCCAATCCTAGGGCGGCATGGCTGCTTTTTTTTGTTTTTTGTTCTTGTTCTGCTCCGGCCGCCCTGTAAGGGGCGGCAGCACGGAGAACCAGGGCAGTCCTCTTCCTTCCCTCCCCACCGACCAGAGCGGAGCCCTCGCAGCAGGCGGCAGCGCAGCGGGAGGGGCTGCATGGCAGCGCCCCTGCTGTAGCCCTGGCCGCCCCCTTCTCTCTCTCCCGCCCACTCCCCCCCCCAGACGGTCCCCCTGCACCCGCACTCCGGCTGCACCGCAGGTTTGTTTGTTTTTTTGCTTTGCCATTCTGACCACCCCGTTTTTTTTTGCTTGGGGCGGCCAAAAAGCCAAAGCCGGCCCTGTTTGTGATTTGTTTGGATACGGGGGGGTATGGATAGCAGTTGCGTGTGCTTGCTTGCTACTCACTGCATGCTGCATGCCCCCCTGACTACTCCATGTGGCTGGCTGCCTTGGCCACCTGGACTAGTAAGTACAGGGTGGTTGGTTGGTCTGGTACAGGGGGGTTGTAGTACTGAAAAAATACTTTTATTTCTGTCTACTGTAACAATGTCCAATATTGTTTGTTGGTACAGGGATTGGCTTGTTTTGAAAGGCAATACAGCTTTTATTATCTTGTGAGACTTGGCAACCACTCATTGGAATGAGAGGAAGGTGCACTGGAGTGAAAGGAAGAAACAGATCAGAAGAAGAAAAGTCACTAAAAGAGCTAAAAATCAAAGAAGAAAGAAGGCAGAAGTAGCAGCAACACCAGGGTTTGACAGATCAGAAAGACCCTTTCAGAGGGAGTCAAGACATCAGAAGAAGTAAGCTTAATGATTTTTAGCCTTCAATTGAAGCATGTATTTGTATGCATATGCCTGATTTAATAAAGCTAGATGTCAGTGTGTATATGTTTAATACCTTGCTATCAGCATTCTGCATGTGACTGTCCATTGCATGCAGAATTTAACCAATCAAAACTTTGTCAATTGTATAGTATCATAGTATTGGGTATTTGAATATTATATTGAATATTTGAATATGTATATGTTGATAGAGTTTGTTGGTATTCTAATTCATGCTGTTATGTTTAGTTTATTCTTTCAGTATATGCATTAGACTTATTGTATTAGGGAATATTGTGTTAAATAAAGGTAATTTTGTTTTTGAAGAAATTACTGACTGAGTGTTAAACCTTTGAGAGGAAGACTGAATCCATGTCCTCCCAATTGGGTCATTAGAATAGAAAGGCCATTGTGGGGTGCCTTTGGTCTGAATTTTGAGGTAGCACCAAGGGAGAGCTTCTTTTGTGTGCAAAGGGTATTGTGATCAACAGGAGACTCTACAGCCTTATAAAATCCCAACCCAACCCTGGGAAAAGGTTGGAACAGGCCTGTTCACTTTCAATGACAGGAAATACATTGTCACTGTATTTTACTACTCCTGTTTCTCATTTGTCAGATGCTTTCACAATCAATCTTTTAAAAATTGTTTCTGCAATGGCCTTCAGAAGATTCAGTTTCTATGGTTCCTTTTACTGAGACCAGAAGAAATTGTTATAAAATATATCCATCTGTAGTATTAAAACAGCTTGAGATTCAACCCTGCTCCCATTGACCTCAGAGAGCTGATGGAAGCATATGTGATTTCCACAAGAGGAGATTTCAGTGCCAACTGCACTGTGAAAAGGACAGACTTTGGCAAGTGTGGCACTTCCTTCCCTAGGTACCCAGGGTTGTGAAGCACCTCACCAATACCTGCTCTTAATGCGAGGAACTCTTGCCTGTGCCTTCTACAGATCAGCTCCCTGAAACTACCAGCCTCTGGCAACACAAGCTGCCTTCTAGGTTTCTGCAAGCATCACTTTCTCTGTATAGGTTACTGGCAGGCACACACCGAGCCACGAGTCCTCTGGGTGTCCCTCTGGAGTGCTCAGCTCTTAGATCCACTATTCTAAAAAGAACAGTACACAATCATAACACATTTTCTCTAGACTAATGTTAACTAACTTGGCATTCCCCATCTCCTCCAAGATAGCTTAGCCCAAGTTCTTTCCTCTGCATTTTCAAACAGTCTGGTTTAGGGCTGCCAAGCAATTAAAAAAATTAATTGTGCTATTAAACAATAGAATACCATTTATTTAAATATTTGTGGATGTTTTCTACATTTTCAAATATTGATTTCAATTACAACACAGAATACAAAGTGTACAGTGCTCACTTTATTTTTGATTACAGATATTTGCACTGTAAAAAACAAAAGTAATCAATTCACCTAATACAAGCACTGTAATGCAATATCTTTATCATGAAATTTGAACTTACAAATGTAGAATTATGTACAAAAAAACTGCATTCAAAAATAAAACAATGTAAAATTTTAGAGCCTGCAAGTTCACTCAGTCCTACATCTTGTTCAGCCAATTGCTCAGATAAACAAGTTTGTTTACATTTGCAGGAGATAATGCTGTCTGCTTCTTGTTTACAATGTCACCTGAAAGTGAAAACAGGTGTTCACATGGCACTGTTGTAGCCAACTTTGCAAGATATTTACATGCCAGATGTGCTAAAGATTCCTATGTCCCTTCATGCTTCAACCACCATTCCAGGGGACATGTCGAAGCTGATGATGGGTTCTGCTCGATAACCATCCAAAGCAGTGCGGACTGATGCATGTTCATTTTCATTATCTGAGTCAGATGCCACCAGCAGAAGGTTGATTTTCTTTTTTGGTGGTTCGGGTTCTGTAGTTTTTGCATCGGACTGTTGCTCTTTTAAAACTTCTGAAAACATGCTTCACACCTCATCCCTCTCAGATTTTGGAAGGCACTTCAGAATCTTAAACCTTGGGTCAAGTGCTGTAACTCTCTTTAGAAATCTCACATCAGTACTTTCTTTGCATTTTATTAAATCTGCAGTGAAAGTGTTCTTAAAATGACCAACGTGTGCTGGGTCATCACCCGAGACTTCTATAACATTAAATATATGGCAGAATGCGGGTAAAACAGAGCAGGGGACATACAATTCTCCCCCAAGAAGTTCAGTCACAAATTTAATTAATGCATTATTTTTTTAACAAGTGTCATCAGCATGGAACATGTACTCTGGAATGGTAGCTGAAGCATGAAGGGGCATACGAATGTTTAGCATATCTGGCATGTAAATCCCTTGCAATGCTGGCTACAAAAGTGCCATGTTCTCACTTTCTGATGACATCATAAATAAGAAGAGGGCAGCATTATCTCCTGTAAATGTAAACAAACTTATTTGTCTTAGCGATTGGCTGAACAAGAAGTAGGACTAAATGGACTTGTAGGCGCTAAAATTTTACATGGTTTTGTTTTTGAGTGCAGTTATGTAACAAAAAAAAATCGACATTTGTATGTTGCACTTTCATGACAAAGAGATTGCACTACAGTACTTGCCTGAGGTGAATTGAAAAATGCTATTTCTTTTATAATTTTTACAGTGCAAATATTTATAATCAAATATATATATATATATATACAAATACAACATAAAATACAATATATATGAAAACGTAGAAAAACATCCAAAATATTTAATAAATTTCAATTTTATTGTTTACAGTGCAATTAAAACTGTGATTAATCAATTAATTTTTCTGAGTTAATCGCGTGAGTTAACTGCCATTAATCGACAGTCCTAGTTTGGTTGCTACCCCTTTCATAATTACAAGTCTGCCAGAAGCATGTTCTCACAGATCGAAGAAATAAGTGGGAGTTCAATCTACACCCCCTACTAATAATCCCCAAATCCTTGTTTTAGTTTGGAAACAGGATAAACCTCCAGCAGCTTGTTTCTGCTTATGTGCTTCCTTCAAGTTGATTTCATATCCTTCTATTAGCATTTAATTCAGTATTTAAATGTGCCTGCATTGTAAATCTTAGAATACGTCATTCACATGTACTTCCTGTTTAGTGAAACCATTCTGAGGCATGTCACTTTACATGCTTTAAAAAACATAATTTATGTACAGATACATAACTCCTTAAATATCATCCATACATCTTGTAGAGATTAAGAGGGTGGACCTGTATGACACACACTTTCATGAAATCTTGTATGGTATTCTTTTGGTGAAACCAGGAGAGCCCTGTACCCTTATATATTCCAGGTCCTTCTGAGAATTGACATCCAGAGGTTCTAGGGTCACAAAGTGTCTAAACATATCCTGACACCCCAACAGCCCTCTCTTAAAAAAAGAGACATGATAGTGTTTTGAGGTATCTGCACATTATAAACCAACCATCCGATATGTTCAGCAACATGGGGATTTTCCATGCATACAGCCCAAATGAAGTCTCCAGATCCACAATAGCCATTGTGCAAACTGGTGCCACCCATCAACTATTTTCTTCTCTTCCACAGAGCTGCACCAGCAAATTCAACTTCTTTTGACAGCTCTGAATCACCACCTCTTAGCTTATGCTGCCATCCTCAGAGGGAGAAACACACTTTCTAGAACCTCCCCAATAGAGAAAATATTTAAACTCCCCAGACAGAAGAAAGATCTATTGGCCCCTGCAGACTACGTGTATAGATGGCACAAAGCTGCATCCTGTTAATGTGCACCTAGCAGGAAGTACATTGCAGAAGTACGTTGCAGAAGTCAGGAGTGCACAACAAATTGCATACACAGATATGAAACTACACTTGTCAGTTGTGCTGGTAATGTATCTAAAATTCTAACCAAAGGTAACAAATTGCTTGCTGATATCCCTAGTCTGGTTTAATATGTAGAAGTATTTTGCTATCCTTTTTGAGATCAGAACTGCAAAATTATACTCATGTTGTAAAGTATTATAAATTACATTTTATATTTTCAAAAAGATGTTTGACATGTATCTTCTAAATGAATGAAATAAGGTGGGTGAGGCAATACCTTATATTGGACCAACTTGTGGTGAAAGAGACACGCTTTTGAGCTAACACAGTTCTTCAGGTCTGGGAAAGGTATTCAGACCCTCACCCCTAAAGGCTAGGTGGAAAAGACTGTTTGGCATAAAGCATTAACCGGTTTTAAAAGATCATGCAAGGTGAAGTGGGCAGTTAACACCTCTGCAGTCAAAAGGCAAAGGAAGGTTAGTGTGTTTCAGATTGTTGTAATGAGCCATAAACTCATTCATTTTATTAAAGTTCATGATTTTTATTGTCCAACACTGAATTTATGCTCCCAAGATCATCTTTTGAAGGTGCTGTGCAGGTTTCATTTGAGGATGAGGACAGAATAATCACACATAGAATGATCATTCTGTGAAAACGCTTCATCCAAGGGGGATATGGTGCTTATGTCTTTTATCAGTGATTGACTGAAAAGTTCTATCTACCTCAAAAGCTCGTTTTACTCACCAACATAAATTGGTCTAATACAAGATATTACCTTACTCACTTCGTCTAATATCCTGGGGCCAATAGGCCTACTGCAATACTGCAGATATCTAAACCTGTTTCCCTGCCCAGCGTCCTACAGAACGGCTGGCTGTGATCAGAGACTGACACACACACACCCCGCCCTAGCCTGGTTTCCTTCCTCAGCCCATTGCTCCCCCAGGCCGCGCGCGGGCCTATAGCAGTGGCTTATTTAGGAAGCTTTTTCCTACGGCTTAGGCCTTCCCCCAGAACACGGCCGTTGTCCCTCCCGATCTCGGATATAAGGACCCAACCTCCTCCCCTCTGAAGCCGGCCGGCCCGCTCTAGAGCTCTCAGGGAGCATTCAGTTCGGGGCCCCCGCCCCCTGCGCTGCGACTACAAGGACCTGGCCGACAGACAGACAGACAGACAGACATCCATCCATCCATACAGACATCCGGCGCCCGCCCGCCCACGCTCTGCAGCATGTCCTCTCGCTGCTCTGCTAAACTAAGATGCCTGCGCAGGCGCGGGTCTCCCCTTGATATAGTCACTTCAGCGCATGCGCGTCGCTGCTCTCTCAGTCACTTCCGGTCCTTCCCATATGTTTCCGGGTCACACTCCCGCTTCAGCTTGAATTGAAATCGGTTCAGTTTCGCTCTCAGCTCGGTTAGTTCTGTTCCTGGGGGCCCTGCTCGCCCGCCGGGGGCGCGTTCTTGTCTAGTAGCG